TCTAGTGTCTGTTTTGCTGCGGTGTAGATGGGGGCGACTATCGGTTCAATGCGGGATTTGCTGGTGGCAGGCAATAATCGATTGGGAGACGTGTGAAGAGCAGCAGTACAGGAAGACGCAGAAAGAGCGTATTGGTTGCTGATAAATAAATAAATTAATAAATAGTTTATTCTCATAAAGCAAAGCACGCCTTTTGGGCATGATCAGAATATTGCAATATTATACATGCTAGCGGAACTAGCGGCACCTACAGCGGGAATGGTACAGTTGGAGACCGTAATTTGGGCCCATATGGCCCAAAGGTTGTATGAAGTCTTTGTCCGCAAAATGCGAGATGTGGAGATAAGAATCAGATCACCAATGTGGTATATGTAGATGAGGAACCAGTCCGATGAGATAGCGTACATAGTGTGGGTCAGGTGAGTAAAGCATGACGAGAAGGCTGAAAAATTATTTAAGAATAGTGGCATGTCACTGATCAAATATGTAGGGGTGTTCGTGCGAGAGCAGATATATGCACAGAATTTGTAAATGTGATATCGGTCAACTTGCCAACGTGTGTTAGGGGCGGTAAAGTTATTGAGTGGCGAGTCACATCCGCCACGTCGCAGTGTTGTTAAGCGAATATTTGTGGTTTTTGTCTGGAAAACGCTTGACAGACGAAGACCCACCACGTCCTGGAACAATACCGACTTAGATGGATGACGCACCGTGAAAACACCAGACTCCGAAAAGGTGGCTGTGGCTTTGGAGTCAGCATAAGCAACCTGAGAGGCTGGAGGTAGCCGTTCAGTGCCCAAAGTCATGGGTGTGCTTTGGTGATTGATGTATCGTTCTGTCTGAAGAAGGGAGGGAATATCAAGTTTTGGCAGACGCACATTGCGAATGGATTTGCAGGTTACCAATTTGGAGTCGGTAGGAGCCATCGACGAGATGGAGTCCAGTAGTGTTGTGTTGCTTGGGCCGGGTTTAAGAGATAAGGAGCTTAAAGGTGCCCGAAGTGTTGCATACGTTGATATTGAGGGGTGGGCAAAATTCCACATCGTCACAGCAAAAATGGGCTGTATTAATTGAGTTCCAGCATAATTGTTCTGATATTGGTGAACTGCCAGTAAAATTCGATTTGTTGGTTTGCATCAACAGCGATGGCACTGGCGCATTACTCACTATCTTCATTGTATTCTATGAAACCCACTTCATTAGCGCCATTTCTCGATCGTCTTACCTTCGACGCTTAATCCTCCATACATATGCATTTAGTTCTAACCATCTTTCAATATGCTCAGCTCCCTATCCGCATATATTTATGGACGTAATAGTTAGTATGTGGTCTTAGATAATCCCCATCCCGTGGAGTATAATTAAATATCGCCACCTCCTCATTGTATCTTCTGATTTCCAATCACAACTATTCGCGAGTATATCGCAACCTTCTGGTCTCCGGTTGAATTATAGGGCAGTAATCTAATACCTAGTGAATCTTATTGGAACCCTGCTCTTCACCCTCATGAAAGTAATTTGTCCATTGGGCCATGCCTTCTACTGCGTAACCAAAACGATTTTCTGCGTAATATCTGTTACAGATTGTACACCATTTGTCGCAAGTAAATGTCTTAAAGTAGGAGTTCCCCAAAGCTGTACCATGGCTGTACGTTTTGGTCTTCTCTCGGTCTGTTCCTCTCTTTCCCTTTTCTCTGCGGTCGTGAACATCTTCGAGAACCGGGATCGAACTGAGAAACTGTCTCTGTCTGAGGTGGGACGAAATAACCAACAAGGACTTACCTGGATCATGGCTGCACTTCAAAACCAACCGTCTGCACCTACGCCTCAAACACCGATATCCAGTGAGGGTAGCTGGACACGAATTCTTCACACGACAGCAAATATACATAAGCAGAGATGGTTCGAACCCATACATTGAACTTCTACTATCCTTCAAAATCATACTTCCTCCTCTACTGACCTCCACGTCCATGTTGCGCTGACTGTGCCATTTGTCTAGCCAACAAAGACGTCACTCGACTACGAATAACTGCATGAAAAATGCGTTATAAGCAGCTTTGCTAGCTGCACTTGACCGTTCATAGACATCGACGACAGTGTTCCAGGACGTGATGGGTTTTCACCTGGCAAGCGTCCTCCCTGTAAAACGCCACAACAGTCCATTTATCAACACTGTGACGTGGCGGACGTGACTCGCCACTGAATAAAGTCACTGCCCACTGTTACACACTGAAATACCGACTAGTCATTATTCAATATTTTACTGTCACGTACAACAAAGATACGCTCCGCATTCAGCTACTGTCCCCACTCCACTTATCGTGCTTTTTCCTTTACTTTACGCAAACATGACACCATTTTATTGGCACTCCACTGATGACTTTGCTCCTCACGATTGCTTCTACTGTTTCCGCAAGTTGTACAACTTTTGGCCACAGCCAATTACATGCGTTGTAACGTATCTGTTGCGCCACATAATTGCTTGTAAATCTTGGTCATACCTGAGGTGGTATGGCTCGATGAATTAGAGAATAAAATATTTATTTATTTATCTATTTATTCTTGGTAGTGATCATATGGCAGTGCAGCTAACATTCATACTACCCACTACTAAACATTTCAACCTCTGCCCCAGCGGCTTCTTTCGTCCTCTACAACGCGTCGATTGGAAAAGCTTCTCCTCTCTTCTACGATCTTTTATCTGGGAGGTCTTCTTTCTGACAGCTGACGTTAATATTGCGACCCAAGAAATGTATGAGCACATTATGTTCTGTCTTGATATGGTCGCGCCCAAACAGGACATGAGGAAACCAACAAAAGCAAAGGGTGTAGCTGATACACATTGAGTCCTAAACAAACTGAGAAAACTGTGCATAAGCTAAAATAAGACAAAGGCTATCCACATGAGAATGCGCATGTACGACACACTAACAACATGGAGAAAACTGCAAGCCACGTCCCCATATCAGCGGAAAACGCTGCACTCAGCAGTAACAACAAAGTTAAAGCACTCACTCAAGCGATGAACCGCAGAGCAAACAACAGAGCTTTAACAAGTTCCTCATTATAAATTCCCACGGGATAGAAAGTTTTACTAAAAAGATGTAGGAAAGACGAGACAATCGTTATGAAGGAGTATAGAGCAATCCGTATTCCGAATATTGGCCCTTAAAGTCAAGTAATTTGAGAAAAGTCGGAGAGCAGGAGACCGATAAGACGAGACTGAGTTAGTCGGCGCGTTGAGGTTGTGTGGTGGTTCTGCAGATGTGCAACACATCATACTTAGAATATGTTTAACTTTTGACCTACCAATCGCGCACAGCCATTCGTACAAAGCAGGACAGGACCCAGGAACGCAATAGGTACCCGCCTAACGCATCAGCCAACGGAAAAATGGGAAGCAACTTGACTGGTTCATTGGTTAGGAGAGAGCAGAAGGAAGTTACTTTGTCAGCTCCGTCACTTCCCGAACATTGTGAGGGTTGCTGAGGATCACTGCGGAACAAGGTTCAGCAGAAGATCGCTGTGATTGTATTGTGGGCAGCAGAATCCCTGCGCACTCAGAGAGTGGGTATCCAACCGTCGTTTGAAACATTCCTCCGTCTCCGCATCAACGACAGTCTCTGGCAAGCTGTTCCAGTCATTCACTAACCGGGTGGATAGGGCCAGATCGGACCGTACACGGAGTCGCCGCGGTTTGAAAAGTTTCCACCGGTGGCCTCGAGTTGCACAACTTGTGTTTAGATGAAAGAACGATTGCAGCTCACTCCCCAGCTCACCACGTAGAATACGCCGTGAATATCATATCTCCGCGGCGACGACGATAATCCAAAGAGAACAGGCTCTCCGTATAGCGTGAAGTATTCTGTATGCGGATGCGACCCTCTTCCGGGTGTCCTGGATTGAGTTGAGATCAGGAGACACAATCCCACCTAGATCCCTCTCTTGATTGACATTTCTGAGCAGGAAACCCTCGATATGATAAGCTCCAAAAGGCTCAAGAGCACCGATTGGAAGGACAGCGCATTTGTCATGGTTAATTGGCAACTGCCACTTTAGTGACCAATCGTGGAGCTGATCGAGTGTCGCTTGAAGTCGGTCTGCATCTTCCAGACTGGATACCTAAATCCACAGCTTCAGATCATCCGCCTAGATTAAGCAGTCGGTCTACAGTTCGGATGGCAGGTGGTTGATGAAAATATTGAAGAGTTCGGGGCCGAGTACAGAACCCTGGGGGACCCCAATGGTCATGAGAACCTGATCAGAAAGCGCTTCGTTAACTTTAACCTGCATGAAGCGACCGTCCAGGAAATCGGAGACCCAAGAAAGAAAACTGCCAGAGACGCCGATTCCCCGGAGTTTGAAGAGGAGCCGGTCATGTGGCACCTTATCGAAAGCCTTACTGAAATCGACAAACACAGCATCCAGACGCTTACCGGTATTTAAGGAACTTGCCCATTTCCCTAGCTACCAGCAAATTTGTAGCGCATGAACGCGCCCTTCGGAAACCGTGTTGGAAATGAGAGAGGAACTCCGACTCATCGAGATGTAGGCGGAGGGCCCGTTTCAAAATTCGTTCCATGACTTTGCACAAAATCGAGGTCAAACAGATGGGACGATAGCTGGCTGAATTCTGTCGGTTCCCTCCTTTGTAAATGGGTTTAACAATTCCCACCTTCCAAGCAGTTGGAAGCCCCCCGACCTCAAGGGAACGACGGGAAAGTTGACAGACAGGAGCGGCAATGTGTCCGGCCACGGTCTTAAGGAACAATGGGTGTAAACCATCGGGACCATGCGAGGAATACGGGTCTAGGTCAAGTAGAAGTTTCCTTACATCATCATCATACACGTTAGCTAGAGGTGGGAAACACCTCAGCTACTGTGCCGCAATACAAAGAAAAAAAGGAGAGAGAAAAAAACAACTGGTGTAAGCTGGCTGAGCTACCGGTAACGGATGGGCATCGTTCCGGTAAGCTACCAGCCGGCTGCTGTGCACCCAAAAAAATTATTATGCAAAATTATATAAGGCTAAGTAATGAGATCGTGGTTGGAGGGGGAGGCTAAGAGGGATGGGGTGGGACAAAGAAACTCACAGCACGAACGCCACTGAGGTCGGCTCCTAGCCATATCAGCAAGTGTGTCCAACCAAACGTGTTCATCGTCTTTCGGACCCCAACCAGGGAGCCGAGACGCTCCAACCGAGGCCAGCTTCGAAGTGAGGGTCTTCATTCCTCTGGACCAAGTCATCGCTTGGCCACCCCTCCTCTTCTTCCATCCACACCCCCGGCGCGCAAACAACACACGTCGCGGAAGTCGGTGGGCTGGCATGCGTAACACGTGGCTGAGCCATCGGAGCCTGATGCGTGAAATAACGGTGCTGAGCGGTTCAGTTTCTTTTCCCGTGCCATAAACAAGGCGTCGAACACGCTCGTTACTCACGCGGTGTTCCCACCAGACGTGAGCTAAATTAAGTAGGCACCAGTGGTAGAACGTAACTAGCCTCTTCAGGTCCGCTGCTTTAAGCGGCCAGGTTTCACAACCGTACAATAAGGTCGAACGTACTGCTGCATTGTACACTCTACCCTTCAGGGCAAGAGTGATGTCACTGTAAGTATCTAATAAAATACTAAAGGGCTCAATGGAATTCCGTTGCTGCCCACTGGTTCTCTCCATTAGCACAAGTATCCTTCGTTCTTATCTTCATTACGTTTACTGCAGAGACTCATTGTAGGCTCCATATATCTCTGAGCTTATCTGGAGCTACTGGGAGACATTCCTTGTTTCCACATCCTGTAATCTCTCAGATTGTATGTATCACTTACCCTCACTGGCGTGTTGATGTGTTCTGTGACACTGTAGGAATCCACTTGTGACCAAAGTGTCTAATGGAGTGGCTACATCAGGCCATTGAAAGTTTCTCGAAGCGCCATTTTCTGTCGATCCTCTTCACCTCAGCACTTCTACTTAGTAGCAACTAGTGGTCGAGGGCTCCACGTAGCTCTGCATATTCGGAGCTTGCTAAGTGCCACCCTCTTTCATCCCCAACCTTCATTCTTATTGACTGTCGGCTCAAATTCATTTGCAGTCCGTTGACTTATCCTGGGACACTTAAGGTATCCACTAGCCACTAGAAGGCTTCACCCAAATGCCATTGCTAGGTGCGGATACTCCCTATCTCACCTTGTATCATTATCAGTTCTTCGCGTTACCTACGTCACCAATTTCCAGCTGCAGCTAGTCATTGCAGGTAGCATGCATATCTACGCTAGAAGCCACTCTGCATCTCTCCAACTTACTCTCTTGAATGGTTAGCATAACATACCTTCACTGGTTTGTTGACTTCTTCTGTTACTGTAAGTATCTAATAAAAATCTAAATGGTTCAATGGAATTCCGTTGCTGCCCACTGGTTCTCTCACTTAGCACAATTATCCTTCGTTCTTCTTATCTTCATTACGTTTACTGCAGTGACTCATTGTAGGCTCCATATATCTTTGAGCTTATCTGGAGATACTAGGAGACATTCCTCGTTTCTTCATCCTGTAATCTCTCAGAATGTCTGTATCACTTACCTTCGCTGGCTTGTTGATGTGTTCTGTGACACTGTAGGAACCCACTTGTGACCAAAGTGTCTAATGGAATGCCTACTTCTGGCCACCGAATGTTTCTCGTAGTACCAGTTTCTGTCGATCCTCTTCACCTCAGCACTTCTACTTAGTAGCAACTAGTGGTCGTAGGTTCTATGTATCTCTGCACATATCCGGAGCCTGCCAAGTGTAACCCTCTTGCATCCCCAACATTCATTCTTTATGGCCGTCTGTGTCACATTCATCTGCTGACCGTTGACTTATTCTGGGACACTTTAGGTATCCACTAGCCGCTAGAAGCCTACACCCCAATGCCACTGCTAGTTGCGGATACTCGCTATCTCACCTTGTATCATTATCATTTCCTCGTATTACTTATGTCACCACTTTTCAGCTGCAGCCAGTCATAGTAGTTAGCATACATATCTACGCTAGTAGCCACTCTGTATCTCTCCAACTTACTCTCTTGAATTGTTAGCATCACATACCTTCACTGGTTTGCTGACTTCTTCTGTCACTGTATCTAATAAATAACTAGAAGGTTCAACGGAATTCAGATGCTGTCCGCCGGTTCTCTCCCTTAGCACAATTACCCTTCGTTCTTCTTATCTTCGTTACGTTTACTGCAGATATTCATTGTAGGCTCCACACATCTTTGAGCTTATCTGGAGATACTAGGAGACATTCCTCGTTTCTCCATTCTGTAATCCAGATTGTCTGTATCACTTACCTTCGCTGGCTTGTTGATGTGTTCTGTGACACTGTAGCAATCCACTTGTAACCAAATAGCCTAATGGACTGGCTACATCAGGCCACCGAAAGTTTCTCGCAGCGCCATGTTCTGTCCATCCTCTTAAACCTAAGCACTTCTGCTTAGCAGCAACTAGTAATCGTAGGCTCCACGCATTTCTGGAGCTTGCTAAGAGCTGCTCTCTTCTATCTCGAACATACTTTGTGGCTGTCTGCGTCACATACATCCGCTTTTTGCTGATTTACTATGGGTAATTAAGGGCATACACTAGCAACTAAGAGGCTTCATGCTAATTCCATTGCTGATCACTGATACTCACACTTACAGCGACCCTAACTGTTCCTCGTCTTACCTCTGGCTCCCGTGTTTAGCAGCAGTCCTTCTTCATAAGCTACTATCATCTTTGTGCATATACTGAGCTGCCAAGGTCCACACTTTTCCCTCCAAGCTTTAATCCCTGGGACTGCGTGCATCACATACACTTGCTGTCTGTTGCCCTAATTAGGTGTCCACTAGCAATTATAAGGCCACACCTAAATGCCATTGCTCATCCGCGACACCTAATTGGCCGTAGTACAGCTCTCTCACGGGCTTCTCCCGGCTCAGGCCTCCTTAATTATACTCCATTAACACCACCGCATGATTTGATTAGCTGCACGTCGATGCGTCGTAGTCTATTATGCTCTAACTATCTAACAACCTCTTTGTATGCTTGCGCTTTACTTGTCCGCTGCCATTCTACCACGAAACCACTCTTAGCTTTCTTCTGTCGTGCAAACATATCCAGGTATTCAGCATAAGCCGCTCTTCTGCCACACATTTCTAGACCTTTATCTACCCACTACTTGCTGTATTGTCTTAGGCATTTTTTACCTGCAATACTCCAAGTCTCGGGCTAGCAGTCCATGGCTCTATCCAGCCAGGCACTATTACCCTAGCACTCTGGCTGCTGCGGTTAGGTCTCAGGTTCTGATATCCACAGCAACCTTAATGTACGCATGTATTCTGGCTATTCGCGGTCCTTCCGTCAATTAGCCCTTCTTAGCTTTTTAATTCGGCACTCTCTCTCACCTGGTCAGTACAGAGACGCCCCTTAGCTTCTCATTTAAAGGTGTTCATTCCTCAATTATTCGCTGCTATTTTTGCGAAACTTACCCATGTATGAGTCCAAAAGACTCACTGGCTTTCCCTGGGTCAGCATATTCTACGCTCCCTAGCGAAACTTCCCACGCAACAGTTGCATCATAGCAAACGGATCCTGTGTTTTCTTTGCTTAACGGCGCAACGCTCTGCATCCAAGGTATACGGTAGCAACCAACCTATAGGGCTTTGCTTCCGATGAATATTCAAAAGACACTTTTAGCATAATCATTGTTACACATTGTACATCATATGTTTCCTCTAAATGTTAGACCATAGTACGTAAATAATGCTTGTTTCCACGTCTGTTCTTTGCGGCCCTGTTTGTCTCTCACCTTCCCTTTCTCCGAGGTCTGGAACTTCTTGGAGATCTGGGATCGGAATGTGAAGGAGCTTGTGCCTGGGACAGGACATAGAAACCCCCAAGGACCTACATAGAACACGGCTGTACAACAAGTGGATAAAAATGCACTCACTACCATGACCGTCGTCCAGTAATGGTAGCTGGACATGACGCCTTCATACTCCTGCGAAGTATACATAATCCTGTAAATTCTAGAAGCAAGAAACGGAAGTTTTGCTCACCTGGACACGAAGATGACGAAGGTCTAACCCTCCATAGGCCTCAGCCATTATGGCCGCCGCGAGCAAAAATAACCTGTTCAGCTAACAGAGGAAATTAGAAGGCAATTGACGGCGGTTAACCGAGTGTTAAATCAGTCGACGAGCTGCTCTGCCAGTTTTACATTAGTGTACAAACGGATTTCTGACAGTGTTTCAGGACGTGGTGGGTTTTCGCCTGGCAAGCGTTCTCCCTATAAAAAGCCACAAGTGTCCGCTTAACAACACTGCGACGTGGCGGATGTGACTCGCCACTGAATAAAGTCACTGCCCACAACTACATACTGGCAAGCCGACCTGAATCCTAATGTAATATTTTCCTGACAAGTTTTCTCTACAAACGGAATGCCCAGCCTGTTTACACTACGCCCACTATAACCCAACTTGTCGTCATGTTTTGACGAATTTATACCTCAAGATTAATTTTACAATTTCCAAAGCTTGGACATTTTTCGGCTTATTGCCGATTACATACATAGCAACGTGTTTGTTGCGAAACATAAATTGCTTGTAAACGTTGATCATGCCTGGACAGGTGTGTCTCGGAAATTCGAGAATATACTATTTATTTATTTATTTATTTATAGTGACTTGACCGTTTGCACTGTGCACAATTAAACTCAAAGTATCGTTGTGAAGCTCAACTGCTTGTAAACCTCGATCATGCCTGATTTGGTGTATCTCTATAAATATGAGAGGAAACTATTTATTTAGTGATTCCTTCCACTTACTAGTGGATGCCTACAGTGTCCTAGAATAACTCACCAACCAGCAAATGTATCTGACACAGACAGTCCCAGAGAATAAAGGATTGAGGGGTAAAAGATTGGCTCCCAGCAAGCTCCGGATATGCGCAGAGACGCATGGGGCCTACAACGGATACATTCTGCCAACCAGAGGTGCTTTGGTAAAGCGATCGAAGGATAATGGCGCTAGGAAAGAGTAGCAGTTGCCAGGTGTCCTCATTTCATTAAGACATTTGGGAACTAGTGGTTACCGACAGTGTCACGGCATAAACCAACAAACCAGCGAAGGTAAGTGAGTCAGACATTTCAAGGGAATAATGGTTGGGTAGATGATAAGTGGCTCCTAGCGAGCTCGGGATTTTTGCAGAGATACGTGGAGCCTAAGACGAAGGGCTGCAGCTGAACAGAAGTGCCGAAGGTGAGACGACTGATAGATAATGGTGCTAGGAGAGAGAGTGGTAAACAAACGCACTCGGATTAAGCCT